CCATCTATTGTTATCTATACAGAGCGTGCATGACGCGTGCCATCCATTTAAGGGTTGATTCTAACCTAGTTCCATTTGACTAATCAAGGTAATGGTTTCATCTTTAAAATCGAAATCTGGTTCTTTCAGGCTGAGTACTTGTTCAAAGAGAATCCAGAGGGGAAGATGTTCGAGCCCGACTTCACGGAGACGATGCAGTCCGTCCTGGACGTGATCGAGAAGTACGAGAACGATATTCTACCACCGGAGGAACTGGACGAGGAGATAATGAAGACGCTGAAGGAACAGGCACAGCAGAACGACGCTGACGGAACGTCGACCAGCAGCGAGCTGGACGTCTGTGGGGCTGCAAGAGTCACCCCGTGCTTCACCCCCTGCTTCACCTACGACGACACGATATCTCACGAGATGGAGGGTGAAACAGAGTCCGTCGAAACCGAGGACTGCTGCAAGGATGACGTTTAACGTGTTTGGGCAAACGGGTTGTTAATTGATCCGGGCGTCCTCGTAACAACGACAACATTTAGCCAACCAGGTCCCCGGAATTCCTGTAATCCGATGATCCCCGCATGCTAATGCCCCGCACGTCGCTGGCTCCTCTTCGACCACTACGAGACAAGATTTCGATAATGCGCCCGTGACTTGCAGCGATGGTCGCGTTTCGTTCTACCCGTTCGAAATATTAAGCGAGCACCGACTCTCGGGCTGAATTAGAAACGCCCAGCCTTCTTCGACAGCACCATCGTGGTCAGAAACCGTACGACGCCGGAATAAAGATACCTTTGCAAATTGTACCGCGATACTTCGGATTCCATTCGCGCGGGAGTCTGGGTTAGGCGCTTGTTTTGATTTAAAAGTTTGTATCTTTGTTAGGCGATGACGAGATTTAATCGAAATTTGCAACGAGGTTGGATTTACAAAGGTGACCTTAATCTTCTTCGTTGGAAAGCAATAAATCTATTTATATCGTACGAAAGTGGCTATTAAGATAAATCTTTTGACGTATTACGTAATAACGTTCTAGGTCACACGTGGTGATATAGAAAAGACGGTAATGAGGATCTGATATTGTACACAGTGGAAATTGGGTTGTACGGCGATTATGGTCACGGAGCTTCGTCGCTTAAGATCATTTATTTCCAGAAATGACTAAAATGTTTATTAGATATAGTTTCAAAGTAATTGTTCTGTCATCTTCTCACTACAAAAATTCTTTAATGCTAGGAACAGAATTCGCGCGACAAAGATTTGAAGAGACGTTTCTGATGGCTCGATCAGGTAAGGACATCTTTGTCGGAAAGTAGTGGGCGATAGGGATTGAATCTCCTATTCGGTGGACTAATAATATAATTAATTGTCATTCCCAGAATATTAAATTTCAATTCCCGTGGGGCTTCTCTTGTTAATTTTATTTGCATCGCGAAGAATGCAGGAAATATTCGTAAGTCTCGAACCCATTAAAGCCTCTCAGTGTCAAGGTAAGAATTAATCGGCGCCGTTAATTGAGTCTCTTAGAGGAGGAAACGCATAGTTGTCGACGGGACGTTCATTTCCAGGTGCAGTGGATACGCTCACACAGCTTCGGAACTGAATGATTATAGTCCTTGACCGTTCCGTGCTCGCGCAGCGGAAGCTGCGAAAGCTGCTTTGGTTCGAAAATAACTCTGTCGTAAATGTACACGTCAAAGGGCCAATTTAGTCGAATTGGTTCGTCTGACGCTAGTCGAGCGACCCAGCGTGTCGCCAATTACAAATTTTTGCATGAATGAACCCCGTCGCCGACCACGGGGAAAAACGACTAAAAACTGTTTCCACGTCACCGTCGACGAACAAAAATCAAAAGACACGTCGATATTTATAGCCGCTTCGATCCCATTGAATTATTTACGTCCGGTGTCCGTATTCGCATAACGACGATAGAACAGCGTATCAATCGGTTCCGTTGACTTTCAAATGGTGCCGTAAAATGGTAATAATTCGGAAACGTACACAGCATCGGAGATGAAAAATAAAGGAAACAATACAGCGTATAAGATATCCGTGACGCGGAGGCATAAATGAATTATCAATGAATCCAGTGGTCGAGGCGTTCGCGCGCGAAGTATTTTCAAAATTATTTTCGATGTGAGCCTTTTTCTAAAGCACCGCGCGAGATACGATTCGAGCAACAGGTTCCTAAAATCGTACCACCCGTATAAGCAGCAAATTTCTCAACGAAAATAATATATAATAAATAGAATATTTCGCGGTTTTCCAGGCTTTCCGCGAGCCATAATTTAACCCTCCAGCCGCGGGCGACGCTGCGATTTCTCCGTCGAAGAACGCGGGTTGATTTCTTATTTAAAATTGGCACAACGAAGAAGGTTGATGGAATAAAAATGACACAAACGAGCCAGGGGAAAATACTAAAGTGGATGGATCGGATAATAGCCTGCACCGCAGAAATTGACAAAAATTGTAGAACGCAATTTCCAGGACCGCGACTGGTATATGAAAACGAAAGGGAAAAATGGAAAACGGGGAACAAGGGAAACGTTAAGTCGCTGAATTATCCGGAGTGGTTTCGAAATTTAAATGGATCAAAGGCTCATAGTATCTCGAGTTGATTATCAGTCCCGCTTCTCGTTAATATTTCCGTATGATAGCATGAGCTTAAAACTCGCTATTTCCAGAAGACTACGAGCTTCCTATCGAGCCATAGGCGCTTTTACGAGGCCAAGGACGATTGTACCACATTGTTCCGCGTCTTTAATATGACGTCGGTTTGCTTCCCTCGCCGGGAGCACTCGCATCCTGGTTTACCTTTTTCATGATTCCCTTGAAAACAGACGGGAAATTACGTTACATCGGAAAAGCACGGAAGGAACGAATTAGCCATCCTATCTTCCGATGCAGTTTTACTATTACAGAGGATAAATATTCTGGAAACGTTTTAAATAAACGTTCGATAAGGAGGGGTTAACGGTATGAAAATACCATCTTTGATAGTCTGTGAACAGAGAAGCGCGCCAACGATGGAACACAGATCACGTTTTGTTCACTTGTAACGCGAAGCACGCAGCTTTTCTTTTTGTTGCTTTCGCCGCGGCGTAAGAGCGATTGCTCCTTTAAAAAGTTTGCATCGGCCGTGTATCGATTCTCCGTAAATATAAATAGAGTCGATGCGTGCCGCTTTCGGAATAAACGCACCGCCCACACGATTTTGCTTTCGATACATTGCTTCGAAACGCACCGCGATAAATCGTGTCGAGGACTTTAATTTCGACCAGACTCGGGAGCCTTTCGTGGCCCAGCTGGCGAATTTTGTCTCGTTGATAACTCGAAATTTTAAGACAACGCGAACCAGAGTCGGATTATTTTCCCGCGAGACACGAGGAAGCACCTTTAAGGAACATCCGTAACATTGGATCTGATCGAAGACGGGGCGACGTTGATGCGTTGAAACGTCTATCGAACAACAGAAGTCTCGAGAAACCATCTGACAAACTTAAATTTTATATAAACAACAAATTCTTTGTACTAACACGTTCGCTACCGCGTCTGAAAAACTGTCAGTCACAGAGCACGTCAGGTTTTATTAATTTTATTCGATGCAACGCACGCTGGTATCTAGGTACAAACAAAATGTATTAAATAGGTCAGCCGAGTAATTTGAATAGTGCGTCACGCGTAATATGGCACTGGTCTACGTAAATAAATCGCGTGATACTTCGTAATTCGTCCACACTTGCGTATCAACTTTGAAGACACTAAAGATAATAAGAGAAATCAAGAAAGCTCGATAATTTTAGTATAGAGAGTCGATTATCGAAACGCCGATAATTCAAATATTGATTAACGACAGATTATCGCAGCACGAAATGGGACACACGTCTATAGTATTACAAATCCTACACTGTTTACACGGCGAAACCATAGGCAAGCAATTTCACTAAACTCTGGGATATACTATGCCTACAAACATTCTAGTTTACTGTAGAGCAAGTATTATACCTAAACACATAAATAATACAAACAAGAAGGTAACACTATTGGAAGGTAAAGTGTACAATTAGCAAAACCACAAAAGAAAGTCTAAATATCAATTTAAACGAAATGGAAATCTTAGCTACAACAGATAATTATTAATTTACATTTTATGTTGTGTTTACCATGTGCTTCGTGCAAACATTTACCAAGCTTGTAAGCATCGAAAAATCAGAAGAAGAAATTACAAAGGCGGGACGATCAATTAAACTTCGACTTTAGTTCCCCCCCCCCAGACCGATTATTCGAATGATCTATTATCGGAGGGAATATGTCTCGTCGTTACTTCGGACAATTAACGTTCCACTGTAATTAGTTACTACTTCGAATACCCGTGAACAAACCCAGGAGCCCGGTGCGCGCGTTCGTATCAGCAACTTTAAGTTCCCCGTACCATGTCCACGGAAAGTAAACATTTGCTCGCCCTTCCCCTCTCGCTCGATTAATTTCCAATCAAGGGCATCGATTGCCGACCGCCGTTAAAAATAAAAACCGCCCACCCAGACACCCTCTCGCCCCTTTCCCTCGTCCTAAGATGAACGTCCTCCCATGGGGGAGCCCCACAACGAGACCCCGAGGCTACCGAAGCCATCCGAACCGCAAGACTCGCCGAAACTGTTGATCGAAAGCGTTGATCCGTCGTGTCGCGGGCGTTAGGAACAATCACCGCAAAGGATCGGGGCGCCGGAAATCCTGAATAATTCCGGGGGCAAAGTCGGGAACCGCTTGGTACGCCGCGAGCGCAACGGCACACAGACGGAAGCGCAGCCGCCGGTATATCTGTATCTTCGAACACCTGTTAGCAGTGGCTCGTGTGGGCGGCTCGCCACATCGCCTTTAAATTCTCGCCGCGATTAAACCCGAACCGGCACGGTCCTTCGATCGAAACGTGGATCCTGCTCGCGAGCCCCCCCGACGCGGTCGATTTGTTTGTCCACTCAAAAAAAGGAAAAAAAAAACCAACGAAAACTTACCAGCGTGACCGGCCACGGAGTAATTGGCCTCCTCGCTGGGGACTACGGTCTCCTCGAGGATGCTCTCCGACGCGGTCTTCATCACCCCCATGACTGGTCCAGTGATCGAGGTGGGTCGCGAATGGAAAGATGTACTACGCGCTGAAAGAGTATGCGACGCAATGGAATCGGTGCACGAGGGATTACCCAGGCGGCTCGATCGTACCGCGTAGTCTGCCGTCGTTGGAATGCTCGGCGCCGTTTCGCCGACTTATCGCGTCTGCGTTTCGCGCCTGCGTCCCTCGCGTCACCCTTGAGCCCTCTATCCTGCTCTTCCCTCCTTGACCCTCGCGTATATCCTACCCCCCTGGTCTTCCTACCCCGCTGCCGCCGTGTTCCTTGCCGCGGCAACGCGTCACGACAACGGGGATGCAAGGCAATCCCTAGGCCAGGGTGAACGTTGGCTAGGATCAGCCCGGCGTGTACGATCGGGCACGGTAGGGGGTTGCTTCTGTCGCTACTCACGCGTTCGTCGGTGGTGCTCTGTAGCGGCCAAGCTGCACACAGGGGTGAGGGGCAGAACCGACACAGGCAGGGGCAATGTCGACCAACTGGGTCTCGGTGAAGGTCTCGGCTGGCTACCCGTGCCCGATAATGCAACCTTTTTGCCTCGCGTTTTTCCCTTTCGACGTTACGAAAACGAACCACGATCGACGATCGATTCTTCGCCAATTTGGTACCTCTTCTTTCGTTAAGCATTTGAAGCGATACATTGCTGTGCAGTGATGAGAAAATAATTTTGCAGAGGCTCCATCTTTGACAGTCTTGGTATATTTTCTCCCTTCGCTCGACTGTGTTTCGTTTCAACTGCGAAAAATTGTCCCGTGCATAATTGGAGCGTTTTCAAAAGAATTTTTAAACCGTCCCGAAGTGTCGTACCGCTGCAAGAACCGTTCAAAGAGCATCACAATTTGCTAATGGTCGTTTGAAACGATGCATCCCCCAGGACCACAGCTATCAACGTCTATTGTAGAACGTCGAGCGATTGCAATAGTGGAAAACATATTAATTTATTTATTTCGATAATACTGTAGCGTACTGAACGGTGATCTCGAAAAATTGAATCAAACAGAAAGCTTCGAATTAATCACCGGACCGTTGACAGAGGAAACGATACGATTAATTGGATCGCGGAACCAATGCTTCTGCGAGCGAGACTGAAAAATCGTAATTTTCGTAAAATGTCTGGGTGATTTGTGAGAGTCGATAAATCTTAATAAGGGTGAACGCCTGATCTATCCATTAATGATCTTAACCCTCTGGCGGAGGCGTACGCGTACGCGGTAGACACGGGTCAGTTTATGGCGGGGAAAACCATTTTACCGTGATGAAACCTACCAGGGAACTACACGTATTTTTCTAATGGACGCTTTCCCTTCGCGCCACGCAAGATTCGTATTAACCTATATGTTAGGCCACACCCATTGTGGACAGGGTGCATCGTTTAATTTTCTGCGCATCGGGAAGGAATAATTTTGACCGATCAAGCAATTATTTCTGTTCGTTTCCATCGTGATAGAACAAAATTTCATGTTCATAAAGTTTAATGTACGTAGAAGTAATAAGGTACCAGCTCAAGCTAACTCGTTATAGCAGCTAAATGGTTTCGAATTCAATTCGGAAGTGTCTCCTCGTGAGCGCAGATCAATTTGAGCGGAAATATTTTGAAGAGCATCGAAGCATCGACCGTTCAAACGGCATCCACATCGCGTTAATGCATTTATCTATTTTTGTATCCATACATTTTCTATTTTAATCGAACGCGTGTGCACTCGTTTTCCAATCAATAACACGTGAATATGAATGTTCCTCGATGCAAGTAAAACATCCGCATTATGGTTTTGACGCTGAAATCTTGTCGTCGAAACTTATCGACGATTCGGAGCCAAGAATGCAGCAGTAAATTTTTCCTGCTTATCTTTCGTACGTCAAAACAGCAGGCCAACTGTTGCACTTTTGTCGCTTATCTGTTACACTGAATTAAATTCGTAAAGAAAATTTGTATAAACGTCGGTCGGTGTTTGGCTAATCAGTGTCAGTGTTTCCCAATATTCTAGCTATCGTTAAAATTCTTTTTTTCGTTCGTATGTAACCATTAACAATGTTTTTGCCTTCGTAGATAGCGAGGCTTTTCAACGTCCCGTCTCGATTTCTTTCTCTCCGTAGTTTTCGATGGAGTAATAGTTTCTCTTGTCGTCGAAGGACGTTATTTCTGATAAGTGTTTGCAAACAGCCGTGTTTTCACGTCCAGCAGAGTTCCAAGAACGCGAACGCAACGCAACTCCGGCACGTGTACGTCCTTGAAACTTCATGGTATCGAGTAAACTCGGGTGTTTGAACTACGCCCGAATTGTCGTGTTCCCCTATACGCATTCACCCTTTTTCAGCTATCTAGTTTCCGCGCTTTGAGCGTATTTTTCAGCCCTATATGTCAACCCTAGGAACCCCGAAACGACTGTAACTGGCAACCAAAAAAGGATTAGTACGCGTGAATGTGGATTAAGGGAATAAAAACACGAATGGTCGGACAACTATGGGGGAAGACTGTAAATATTCGTTTGCTATCTTTTTCATTCGTTAAACCGTAATAGTTTCTAAAACATAAATTCAATTAATTCATGACTCCTTTGTTCATCATTGATAACTTGTTAGTAGAGAAGTATTTATTGGACCATACGGAATAGTTTAATAAGCTTAATAGTTGCTCTGTATGGCTCAACAGATACTCGATGTAATTATAATAATATTTGACTGGTAAACTCGACTTGAATTGGTCCAAATAAAGTGCTGCAAGCTATTTTCCACAGGAATTAAATTCCAAGAGAATTTGCAATGTTCTCTTATCATGGCGTTCGCTGCGAAGAATGTGACCCTAAGTTCAAAAGACACTAGGTACGATGGAACTTCGCTTGAAGTCGACCATTGAACCAGAAAACACACCACGATGTGTAACATGTTTTAAAGATGTCTGGAGAGAAACTAATGGAACTCAAGGCTGGCCATCGAATGGAATCTGTCGAGCAACTTTGTTCTCGGAAGTGCAAAAATAGCTCCTCAAGGATGAAGAGATGGATTTATTACAGTGAAAAAGGGGAAAGGAGATATAGGATTCCTCGATTATTTATTTATGTATTTATTAGCACAGCGTGGAAAAACTCTTTTGATTCGACGTCACGTTTAGTTCTTGCGACGCAGTAAACAAAGGGGAAAGCAATCTGCCGTCCGTGGATATCGTTGGTCGAATGGGATAACTGCGTAATTGTCGATGTTAACTGAACCACATGGTGTCTCTTTTTCATTTTTTCGCGACAAACTGTTCCCGGAGCTATATTTCCAGCTGAAATCCGCTTTGGTCGGCGTCGAAAATATCTTGTCGTCCCGTAACATTCCGAACATGTTTTAACGTGTGTAACAATGCCCAATTTATTCAGGTATGCAATTTTTCCAAGGGGACAAAATTCGTTTTTTTCAGTTTTCATTTAGATGAATCGCATGCTCCGGTATGAATACGATTGCCGTCGTCCGGTCAAACACGAAACAATATAGTTAATAATTAATCGAGCAAAATGGCACACGAAAAATTTCTTGGCGATCGTCGATTCTCTACGAGACTACGTGGACCAATAAAAGCAATCTAAGGCTCAAGAGAGTGCCTTTCATCATTTCTAAAATACGATACCACTCGGGGGTTGGGGGCTTGCAGCCTCCCCCGTGCAAACAAACGAATGGAAGATGTTCTCCTGAAGAAAGAGTCACCGATCAATAATCGATCGCGCCGGAGGAGAGCCAGGATACTTAATTGTAACGTGATCCACTTTCAATTTCTTTTCTCCACCCCCGCGAGTCACGTGGCACGAGGTCGTGGTTCGTCAGGGGTGAGACTTGTTGCACGCAACAGAGCAGCCTGTTCGACGCCTTGATCTTATGATTCTGGCTCCTCGAGCATCGTCGGACACGTGGGTCGGCCGCTAAGGATGCAAGAATTTCAAGGACCGCTTCGATCGGGGTTCACCCAAGGTCGACGGTTCCTCCCTGGGCCTGCGTTCGCCTCTGCTCGAGGATGGGGGGTTGCGCTGGCATTCCCCTCTGATTTTCGACACCGCCACTCACCCGCTCGTACGCCTTCCTGCTCCACTTTCCCTGTTCCGACGGCCTTCCCGTTACGCCTTCCACCCCTGCCTCTTGCGGCTGCATTTAACATCGATCGAATGATCTCGCCGCCTCCCTGGATTTGTGCATGCGTACAAAGGGTACACGCGTACAGCGGCGCAACTAGTGTAGCAACGATCGATTTGAGTTCATTGTATGCCGGCGTACCATCCGCGACTTTTTCCCTGGGTTGCCTGGGACAACGCCGCGAATACGTGTACCTGCACACCTGGAACCGCGACCACGTGTCCTGGGCCAGTGTTTCTCAAACTATTCCACCCCGGAATACCGTTTCGAACCACCCACCACGAAACGAATACAGACCGGAGTCTCACCACTGGTCCTATCGGGGATGGAAAAATATTCTACAGGGAAATTTTCCATCGTTTAACACGGTCCACCATCGTCTTTTGCAATCTTATCTAAAGGTACATCGGTACAGTTACGTAAATGGAATTGCGTTCCCTTTTCGAGAAGATCGGAATCAGCAAACAGATTTTTCAATTTTACTCGTATTGGGGTGAGAGTATAAGGGTCGACGAGTGTGAAAGTATTCCAAATACCAAGGGTTTGTAGCTAGCTTCTGCCAACAAGCCACGAAGCAGATTAAACTCGATAATTTCGAATTCGTTGTCGGGCCCACTTTAAATTGAAATTAAATTCTCTTTGAAACTGCAACATCTCGCGAGATGAATAAACTTACGAGTAGACGCGTATTGGATTTCTGCTTCCTGCAAAATACATCGTTGAAAATATGATTGTTGCGCTCCGAACGGGATCAGCGTACGTTTAAAAGGTTTACCTGCTAATACGATTATTTCGTGCAACGTTTAAATTTATTCCAACGTTCGCGCTTTAATAGCAATCGTAGCGTACAATCTTTTAAACGGTTTAGGACAGCGTTTCTCAAACTGAGGTCCGTGAGCTTTCGTACCGTGGAACAACAACATGAACTTACTATATATCCATATGATATATTTAGTCTGTATAAACGTCAGCTTTTAACAAAAGATCACTT